TGTGGTCATGTGTTGAAGATTCTCACGGATGGTTTCCATAACGATATAAAGATTCACTCCCTGCTTAAAAGAGGAGAAAGGCAGAAAGTCGCTCTTAACGATGCTGCGAACATCCACACAAACACATGCACACGTACACAAACACGTACAAGGACACACACTCTCTCAAGAAATGTCTCCCAGCTGAGATGTTTCTGATTTGTCTGGGCTGTTTTTTCTTTGACGAGGTTTGTGGTTATGGAGCGTCACAGACTTAAGATTTCAAAGAAGTTTGTAAATTGAATCAAAGCTCGTCTGTACACATACATCATTGTCAAAAAAATTATTTTTCTGTGTGTGTGTCTGTGTGCACGCCTTGCGTCGCCAACTGTCCTTTTTCTGCAAGATTATGAAAATCTGTGTGCGTGTCAGTGGAAAAATGAGGCTTGAAACAAACTTTTTCTCTCTTTTTTTTTTCTTCTCTTCAGAGATGGTGAGGAAGAAGAATCCCCCTATCCGGAGTGTGGGAGGTGAAGAAGAGGAGGAAGAAGAAGGAAGGAGGCCAGCAGCAGGAGGAGAAGAGGAAGAGGAGGGAGAGGAGGAGGGGAGAGTGGGTGCAGAGGCTGAAAGAATAAACCGTCCATCCGAACCAGAATCCTCTGACCGGATCGGAGGAGACGAGGAGCAGGAAGAGGAGGAGAGTGAGTGCATATCTTCATCCGTCTCCCCTTCTTCTGTTAGTGATCGCTACAGCAACGAGGAGAGAGCAGGGCGAAGAGGAGTAGGAGGAGGAGGAGGGGGGAGAAGAGCGAAGGAAGGAGGAGCGGCGTTGACGGACAGACCTGAGAGCCAGTCGGAGCCTGAGGATGGGGAGAAAGGAGTAGAGGACGGAGAGAGGAGGGAGAGAGACAGAGGGGAGACAGATCACCTCTCCACTCCTTTCCTCTCTGCTCCTCACCTCCTCCTCCTTCGCAGCAGCAGGCAGGAAGGAGGGGAGGAGTCAACCACAGACACCCCTCCTCTTTCCTGCAGCCCCTCTCCCAAACTCCAGGACTTTAAGTGCAACGTGTGCGGTTACGGTTACTACGGCAACGACCCTGCTGACCTGGTGAAGCACTTTAGGAAGTATCACCTGGGTCTGCACAACCGCACACGGCAGGATGCTGCCCTCGACTCACACATCCTGGCCCTGCACAACATGGCCCCCCAACACACACCTCTAGGTAACTCTGGCTTCCTGCTGATGTGAACAGTCTAAACTGATGTTACCTAAGATAAAAAAAATGTAATTTTTTTTACGTCTGTTTTGAGGTTTCAATGCGTAAAGTTGACTTTTCAGGACATGCGAGGTGCAGCTGTTTCTGTATCTCTATCCTTAAGTTCGACATTTCCTTTGGTTCCTGCGCCTCTGGCCGCCTGACCTTGTTTGTTTTGTCTGCCTCTGTAACCTCTCTCCCTCCTCTGTAATATCCTTCCCAGATAAACAGTCAGGACAGGGGCAGAGGAACCAAGCCAAAGATTTGGGGAAGACGAGATCGGACATGCACAACCAGCAGCACAGGACGGTGATGATGAACGGCACATATGACATACAGGTGAGCACTTTTATGAATGAATGAAAATAAAGAAAATAACATTTGTGATCCCATCTTACTTTTAAATTTTTAATTAAGATCCACTTAAAAGCAAAAACATTATTAACAGGAGTACAGGAATTAATCACCAGCTCCAATTCTGATGGGTGCTCTAAATTAATAATTGTTGCTTATTTCATTTTCATTTCCCCATCTGGACCAGCAATCTAAATTAAAGACACTATGAGAGGTTTTTACCTGGTTGAGAAACAGACAGAAACTGATGCTGATGCTGATGCCTGAACCTTAGAAGCAAACAAAACCACCGGCAACAACACAGATACTTTTTCTGTCGTGATTTGTAATATCTTAAACTGCTGTGAAGGGTTAGGTTTCAGACCAGACGATCGACATCAGGCTGTAGAAATAGTTTTTTTTTCATGGCACATAGAAATATTGGAAGGTAAATTTAGGTTTACCTCCCAATTTTAAAGCAACAGGATGAGGTTTATGTTGTATTCACTACAGTGTAGCAGCTGAAGCTATACAACTAGCTAAACTCTTTGATAAGATGACTTGAGTCGTAGTTAGCGTTATTTTGCTCTTTACTGTGGCTCTCAACGTCTTCGTACAAAGACAGTAAAAAATGTAACACACAGAATATAATTCTTAAAGATCCAAATGAACTCTTTTAAAGTGCAAAATGTACTGTCTATAAACCTTTTTTAACCACATGAAATGAAGTGTTTTAAAGTTAAGGGTGAGTTTTTAACCTGTAATTATAACTACAAACATAAATTATTCATGAATTTACTCACAACATTGCCTCTGTTACAGCATAACATATGGTCTCATAATACTGGCTTCATCTAAAATGGCTAACAAGAATTGACATGTGCCTCTAAATATACAAACAGGCTTAAAAATTTTAACACCTCTTTTCAAAATAAAAGTCCAGCTTGGATTAAGGCGAATAGACGGCACAAGGTTTTTGTTGTAAAACATTATTTTTACATGCAGAGTACAGGAGATGAGAGGTATCAGTTTGTCCGCAAGGGGTGCCCAAATCAACCCTCACCAAAAGTTCCTCACAGGAGCTTTAATCTTCATTCCAAAAACATTGTTAAATTTTTCAAAGTCACACAATCAGTTCAGAAGTGAGCACAATTTACAGAGAACTTCTACTATCATTAAAACACCTATTACCTATTACAGCGCTCCCTGGGGACAAAGCAGTCTCTGCTTATCTTGTCCTTTAGCTGCTTAAGTCTGGATTTCTGACAGAAACATCTCATCCTGCTGACTGAAGAAAGATAGGAACATGTATCATTTGTTGTTGATATCTTGTGTGGAAATTATAAAAACAGAGCTGTTTCTTCAGCCCCTCGCAGCGGTTTCCCACACCAAAAATGTCAATATAAAAATGCTTGGTTTGGTTCCTGACGGTCTTGTTTGCTTTCACATTTCAGGAAAAGATTTCAGCCTTTTCTGTGAATGTAAAAAAAACATTTCCCCAAAGCTCCTTTTTGGTATTTTGAGGACTCCACTTCACCTCTGCTCGGTTACAGTCTTGATTTTCCCTTCCTGAACTTGAAGATACTCTACATTTTTAACAGTTTTGTTCATTTACCTCTTGAGCATTGGGAGTTAAAAATGTTCTAACAGATCTAGGGATGCAGATAAATCAGCTTTTGCATCTGCCTTTACTTAAATGTTTGCATCTGCTCATCATTTTTAAGAGAAGAGGTTGAAGTATTTGTAGTGTAACATGAAACACCTGGACATGGTGTATTAGGTCGATTTTAAAGCTCACAATCAGTTGAAAGCAGGTGACATATTGAATCAGTTTAATTTTAACTCTGTGCATAAATCTTTGTCATAAATCTGTAAATTCAGGCCCATAAGTGAACCGACTCATTTATGAGGTAGGACAGTCTGCAGCTGATTTGTAACACAAGCTGTGTGTGAGAGTGAGTGAAAGTTTGCCTTGGACAGAGAAGCGTTGTCTTGAAAGTTATAAAGTTTAATAGACTGACAGGCGAAAACGACACTAGAATAGACACAGAGGAGGAGGCAAATGGAACACCTGGCAGACAGGCTGCACATGCTGCATGTGTGATGTTCAAGCCCAGGTCTGCTTTATGACATAGGTACTGCCACACATGAATACTCGCGCACTGTATGTCTCATAGTCATTTTTGAACCATTTAACCAGGACCTACACCTGGTATTGGCTGGTTAGCAGAAAAATGAGAGGACTAAAGCAATCATGCAGCCATCTTTCAGGAATTAATGACTCTATCGCCATAGAGTCATACCTACACTCAATTGCAGCTGGAGAGACATAAATTTTTTTTTATTTTGTCACCATTTAGACATTTAATGATATTTTTAAAAAGACAATATAATGTTATGATTAGAGATAGATTTAAAGCTCCTGTAGGTAACTTGTGGAAAAAGTTGTGATTTTCAGCTGGTGAACTCAGAGTTTCTGCTGGGTCTGAAAAAGTCTCCAAACGTCTTAAATCCAATAATTTGAATTGAAGGCCTAAAAATGTTTATAATTCTCTTAAAAACCTAATAAAATGTCTTAAATACAAATTTGGAAGGTCTTAAAAATGTATTGATGTTACTTACAAATAAAGATGGATTTGAAGTTAGTTTCAAATGTTCTGATTTCCCTTCATGTCTTTTGAATTTTTTTTTTGCCAGTATGGATGTCAAATGGATCTGAAATTGTATTCACTATGGTCTTTAAAAAGTATTAAAAAGTCTTAAATTTGGCTTGTTGAAACCTGCAGAAACCCTGTGAACTGCAGCTAACTATAAAAACTTCACATCACTTAATTAAGTCCTCGGTTTCATAGAAGTAGACTCAGTGGACTCTCTCAGACATGAAAAACGTTTTGAACTGTTGGAAAATCTGCTTTCTGAGGGCTTCTTTAGTTTTTGTTGCAGTTGGTATGTGTGTGTGTGTGAACAGTGGGGTTTTGTCTAAAAAGCTTCAAACAAGATGATCTAATAAGTGTGTGTTTGTGTAAGTGTGTGTGCTTTAATGTGTGTGTATGAAGTAGAAACAGAGTTTCATTTCACTTAAACCAGGAGTCTGCAATGCCCGTAAGTCACGTAATGGACACGGGCACACACATACACACTGTAGTCTAGCGCTGACACACACACATGCACACACACACACACACACACACACGGGCAGAGTCAGAAATAGAAAATCCAGTGGGCTTAAGTCGTCATTATGAAGAAAAAGTGAAAGTATAAAAAAAAAAGGCGAATGAAAGGGGTCTCTATTCTCTCCATTCCTCTCTTACTTTTTCTCTCTCCCGCCCACGTTTGGAAAATTCCATGTTGTCATTTGCTAAGACGAGATGCCCCATCAACCAATCAGGCTGCAGAAAAAAAGACGCGAGGAGGAGAGAGAAGAGAGAGAGAGGGAGAGAGGGAGAGAGAGAGAGGGAGAGATGAGGGAGAAAAGGAGACAGACAGGAAGATAAAGAGAGAGAGAGAGAGGCTTTAAGACCAGTAGTTATGATGGGCTGTTAGGCAGTGTAATGAAACAGCTGTCAGACATATTTAACTTTCTCTCTCTCTCTCTCTCTCATCATCTGTCTCCTCTCCTTTAACTCGCCCTCTGCCTTTATCTCACCTCGCTCTTTCTTCCCCTCTTTCTTGTCTTTAACTCAAACACTCCTTTCCCCTATTTCATCACACCAACCACTTTTCTCTCTTTTTCATCTCCTCTCTTACGCCTCCTCTAGAGTCTCTCTGTCCATCCTTCTCCCTAAAATGACCTGATGTTTGGCTCTTTGTTAATTGTCTGGGAATGGTCTGTGGGATGTGATGATTAGATGATTGCTGTTGTGAGATCACTCACAGTAATTGATGTCATTTGGCTTTCTGAATTTATTCACTTCATTGATGCTGAAATGTACCAGCCAGTGTTTTTTTTTCTTCCCTTTTTTTGCTCTGTTTTTGGCACGTGTAAAAGTTCTGTATTAATGTCTCAGTCAATGCTCCTTTCTCTGCCCTTTGTAAGCAGGGTTCTCACAGATCCTCAAATTCGCAAACAAAGTCCAAAGTCTTTGCCTATCTCATCCTTTACATAGTTACTTCTTCTAACAAAAAACAAAAAAACAAAACAAAAAAAAAAACAACATACCATTGACCTTTGACAGTCAAATGTATAATCGGTAAAATGTAAAAAAAAAAAAAAAAATGTTCCCTTTTTTTTTAATCCATGATACTCCTCATGCCGAACCCCTCAAGGATTTTTCAGGTAACAAAAACTAAATTAAAACTTTTAATATTGTTGCAGATGGTGTTGTTTGCCTTTGTATATAAGAGAAATACTTAAATGTGAATTTCAGTGTATATCATTTATATGAAAAAAACTCTAAACAGAAGCTTTTAAATAACTGCTCTGTTTTTCTAAATTATTGAGAGGATTTTCTTCGAATTCTGAGAAAACTAATGTTATAAAACTTGCAGTGTTGTTCTGAGTTAATCAGACAATTAACTCAGAATTACCAGAAAACCTTTTGTAAATAAAAAGCAATCTGTCCTGTTTTGCTGAATAAATAACTCGGTGATCTCTAAATTGAGATAAAAAATCTAAATGTGACTTAACCAGCTCTCTTGCTATTCCAGATAAACAACTGTTTTTTCTTCATAACACACACACACATATATAGAGAGAGATATATGTTTATAGATACAGAAATATGTATATATTTATTACTCTTTCTACAACAGAGTAATATTTTTTGATAAGATTCCAAATAAAGTTGTCATATAGAACAGAACATACAGAATAAATTCACAAGATAATCAAATCATAATGTTACCAGATGTAAAGTCTTTTTTAACCTGAGAATAGAATTGTAATTAAACAAGTTCAAAGCCATTGTGTATTGAAAATAGAGTCGTACTTATTCGAAACATTAAAGGACTAAAACCATCATGCTATGAGAATAAAGTCATGATAAAACCTTTATAATTATCAGTTACTTTCTGTTCTACTCTTAGTGTATAAAATAACTTTCATTTTAAAAGTTATTTTCAGCATGATTTCCTGCATCACATCTGGACTTGTATCAGTTGTTACTCACTGTGGTAAAAGTACAGGAGGATAATAACCGGTAATATTCATCTGTTTGGAGTTATGGCAAACTGTTTTAATTTAAGAGCTTAGTTTGAATGTCTGGAATTAACATTGTAGATATCAATATATCAAAGTTGTAGATATCATAGTTGTAGATATCAAAGTCTTTCTGACTAGTCATAACTAAATTTGGAAAATTGTCATTCAAGATATCTGCCATTTAATTATGACTGGTCCAAATGAAAGACCTAGATATCTTTAATTCAGTTTTAACAAGGTTTGATCAGCTTACAATTGTTGTCTGTCCTGCCGACCAAACTCACTCAGGTTTGATCATTTAAGAACCACAGGGTTTACCTCACTGAAACTCATCACAACAGCAGAACTCAAGTCAACACAACAGGTGATAAACAGCAACAACAGCTTGACAGAGGAACTCATGGACATGATGGTATAGCTTAATGCTTATCTACACCTTAATGATATATTAGCTAAACAAGCTAGTGCGAGCTTTCTGTGTTGCGTTTCCTGAATGAGTAGAGAGCAACAAACTAAAATTTCAACTCCAAGAATTTATAAAACATCAACAAGCTGACCAATGTAAAATAAAATTATAATATTGTGTTAATATCTTTCATTGTACAATGGAAGAATTCACAGGCTGCTCAGCAGGATGCAAACATATTATTTTACATAATAAGGTTTTTTTTTCCCCTCTGTAACTTGTTTTACAAGTTAAAACTTTTAGTTATAATCTTTTTTTCTTCTCAGGCTGTAATCATTAACTGTGGTTGACAGGACAAACAACAATTGTAAGATGACTGTAAGTCTGTAAAAGAGCTTTGAATCATGTAATATTGACATGTAGTGTCATTTTAATATGACTCACCTGGTACTGTTTTCCAGTTAAAAAAAGAAAAAATCATGCAATGAGCTGATTTGCAAACAAGACAACATTCAAACAAAGGCATGAGGAGGACACTTGGAGTTCTTTGCATCTTTACAGACCACATAATTCTCAAATTAAGAGATCGATATTTAAAATTTGTGTCTGAAGTCTGAAATTAAATTGTAAAAAGTAGGTACTTTTATGGAATATAAATTCCTCTATAATAGCGTCTATGACAGAAGCTATCACTAAAATAAAGTAAAATAAAGCATGTCCACAAAAAAGATTGTATAAGTAAAAAACTATGGACTGCATGGAAAAGGGATTTGTTATTGCTACAACAGATTCAGTCAAAATAGAACCAAAACATTTGCTCTTAGAAAGCTATCATAAGCCTCCTTAAAGAATATGAACCCATACATCTTTGCTTGTTAAAATCCAGTTGCAGTTGCAGTTTTTTCTTGCCAAACCTCCAATACAAGCCTGCCAACTTTCAACATCAAACCACAGATCCATAAAGAGACAAATCCAAATTGTACTGTAAGTAGCCTAATGTCATTGTAAGGCTTAGCAGGTTGCTGGCTCACCAATCCAGCCAGCAGCACACTATAATCACCTACAGACTCAGACTGACCTAATAAAAACCATACCAGTGTCAGGTTGCTCACTCAGTAAAGCAAAATCTTGGCCGCGTACATTGGATACTACAGTAGAGTGTGACAGAAACGTTATTGGTCACTTAGTTGGAGTTTAAGCAGCCTTTTAATTGTCTACAGTTACATACAGAGAATGATGGATTGCATATGTTTTAGGCATGAGACCAGAGAGCAGATCATGCATTATTTTCTTCAGGGCTCTGCAGCACAGCTCTGGTTTTTAAGGCTCATGTCAAGTGTTCTCCAAAAATATTTGCAGCAAGAGAATCAAAACTACAAAAAATAATGTATTACCTGTGAACTTGTAGAAAACTTACTGCAGACACAAGCAGTGATTATATTGGGTAACTAAGCCCAATGTCAAAGTAGAAGCTGACAGTGTCTTAAATTCCTAGTTTGGGTTAATTAAATCTAAACTTATTTGAAACCTTTATTCAGGCTTATCTGTAGAAACAGTGAAGTTTCAGAGAAGCTAAACAGGGTTCTCCACCTCTAAATATCACGTAAGGTAAGTAGTATGTAGTGAATAACCACTTACTCAAAAACAACCCAGCTGTCAGGAGAAGATATTAGAAACACGTGTAGTAAAGAGTAATTGGAAACACTCAACCCCAAACGTGACTAGATCAAAGTCAATTAATCTTGCATTTGTCTTGTTGAATTACGAAACTCAACTGTCAAGCTGCGTTTAGTGAATGCAGTCAGATACTCTGCATCTGCTTGACGAAGAGCAAATGTTCAGACATTAGGCCTCTTGATATTAAGTTTACTTCAGCTGGTAGAGCATTGTTCATGACAGCTAATACAAGCTGCGATTGGTGAGTTGCCGTCATATGAACCTTAAAAAATTCAGGCCATCCTCATTATTATTGTTTTATTTTGCCGTAGGTAATAAAAGCTCTAGATTTTAATCATTGCACCTCAGCTAGAGTTTCATGAAAAACTGGAAATATGGATCCAAATGGAACCAGCTAATGCAAATTAACTGTGCCTTTGGTAACCCCTAGCTGGGGATTGTATTTGAACTTGGTTAGCTGTGCTGTACATGAATGAGCTAAAATGAATGTGTTCATTGAACATTACCTCACGGTTCACCAGGGGGATCACAGATGTATCTGGCTGTTGAGAGTTTTTGAGTGATGTATTTTACAGCAGCTGAACGCAGATCCACGGTCTGCATCCATACACTCCTCGATATGACTGCAGACTGTGCTTGAGTGTTTACATTCGATTAAGATATTTAGCTAACAATTTAAAGTCATTTGACTGTTTCATTTTGTTGTTCTGTGTAGATTCAACAATAATTTTGGTGAATTCATTCTGCTTCCCAACAGGTGACGCTTGGTGGCACGCTGATTGGGATCGGCAGAAAGACCTCAGACTGCCAGGGAAACACAAAGTACTTTCGCTGCAAATTCTGCAACTTCACATACATGGGCAGTAACTCTTTAGAACTTGAACAACACTTCTTGTGCTCGCATCCGAACAAAGTCAAAACTCCTCCAACAACACCCCTGCTGGCCAACAGTAACCTCGCAGTGCACGACAACCAGGCGAAGGAGAGGAATCAAATGTTAGACGGGGCAGAGCGAGTTGCAGTGAGAGCAGAGGATGACTCTCTGGTCGGATATTCCATCCCAGTCAGGACATGTCCAGATCCATCCAATTGGACAGGGGAGTCGGGTCGAGGTCCTCTTCAGGCATATTATTGGTGTAAATTCTGCAGCTGGAGTTGTGAGTGGTCGGGGGGCTCTGCAAAGCTTTTAGAGCACTTTGAACAAAGACATAGACTGAGTACGGGAGGTACGATGAGCCCCAACAACGCTAATACTGACAGAGAGCGGGAGAGAGGAGGGAGGAAAGAGGGAGGAGAGGCAGCATCCAAAGGTCGCAAAGATCTGTCATCCAACCCGTCCAGCACCAGCCAAGGTACTGAAACAAGAAAAAGCTAAGAATTAAAAAAAAAAATAATAAAAAAAAGATATGTCTTTCAACATTATAGGATATTGTGTTTTCCTTCATTTGGCACCTTTCCATTATCAAAATACATTCATAATACAAGCGTCAAATGTCATTAGCTTTTATCAGCAAATGTTACCTGCAAAAAGTTCAATTTTAAGTTTAGACTATACGCTT